TTTTGCATATCATGCAGGAACAAGAAAACAGTATCCTGCATTATTATATATATAAATAAAAACCAGGCCTTAGCCTCTGTACTTTTGGTGAATGGAGAAGTACTCTCTAAAGTTTTAACTTCTACGTGAGGAATAGGAGATGTCAAAAGAAAATTACCACTACAGCCTTTCTTTAACAAGTGATTCTTCAGAAGTTCCCAAATCCCAGGAGAGGAGATTGGTGAGCCAAGCTCAGGTCGCAATGGACTCGTATCCAGCTTTTCTACACTTCCTTTGATAAGTGATGACAAGAGCAAGAACCAGTGCTGCTTGAAACAGAAGAATTACCACCCAAACATAATGGGGTATACTCGTTTTCTTGTGCTCCTGCATAATCTCAAGTAACTGCATAGTTAATCTCAGGAGAAGCTGATTAAGTTTCGGAAATTAGTACCTTTTCTAATTACAACTCTTAACCACATCACATGACAGCATATCAATACTCTCATAACACTCTATTTAACATCTTTCACTAATTGGCAGTCCTTATCTCCCCCCCCCCCCCCCCCTGCGGAGACATTCACTGCCTCGAGAAGATTTGTTTAAGCCACGTTAAGATTGATCGTGTGTTCAAGTAATCCTAGAGGGGAATAAAGGGACAGATCACAAAAGTGGGGCAGGATCTTACATGAACTGAAGCATGAGGAGCAGAGGTAGCGTTTGGTGAGTGTTGATCAGGATCAGCAACTAAGATGTAAAAGAGTCCCATGACACCTGTATGCCTTTGAGCATTGCTATAGTTGGATACAAGAGTTAGAGACTCCCCACTGGAGATTTTAATGGAGCCAGGTTGAGGATAACATGTTGACATTCCAACTATATAGCCAGACTCATTTCCTGGTTCCATTCCCTGCCCATATATTGGAATGGAGGAGCATATAACGCGTCCATCCTAACAAAATTGACGGGAAAGAACAGAAATTCAAATTCAGAAAAACAACATTACTATAAGTGATTGTAATTAAGTGATTATTAAGTGATTGTAATTAGCATTGCAAGCTAATACAGGATAATAATGTTCAACTAATGCAAGGGATACGAGGGGATAATGTTCAACTAATGCAAGAGAGCTCCCCTCTCAATGTAACCTGGAATACTCCAACGTGAATGGACTGCATAGTCCTAGGTGCATCTCATAAAGGATAGAAGATAGAACTAGAAGAGAAGGAAAAAAATTTGTCATGTATCTATCACGTAAGCATGACAAGGAAAAGTTTGAATTAAATTACCTCCCCATAAAGAGTTGAACCGAGACCTCCTGTATGTTGGTGTGCAACACCATAGATGACCTCACCCCCAGATGGCAAAACTATGGATACGCTCTTTGTGTGGATGCAATCATCATGAGCTGTGTTTGTGGAACAGGACTCGATTAGATACTCGATCTGTCAAGATGGATAAAACCTTTTAGTTTCCTGAAAAACTTGAAGAGGAAATGCACTAAAAGAAAGCAAAATGGTTGAAGCAACACCGTCTACTTTGATAATGATAATGTTAAAGTAGAACTTTAACCATTAATCATAAAGTTAACAGGTTCTTGAATAAGATATATAACATCTGCAATAGCCAATTGCTTTTGAAAACAGACTTTAGTACTAGAGTCATCAGGAGTAGTAAATCTTTCTAATCACAATATTCATGATTTCAGACAAGTTCGTAGGACCTGTATATAGGTGCATGATCTTTAAGATGGACTCCATCACAATCAAAATGTAGCTTGAATTCCATTAATGACCTGTTCCTACTTGTGTCAATTTTAGTTTGGTCTACACAAGTTCTTTTCAAACCTAAGGAGACATCATGTAGGTTCTCTCACTCATCCTGTTATACACAGGGAACATGATAAAACTGCCGCCTCTGCATATTTTGGAGGCAGAGCAGTAGTTATTCCTTAAGATGCACGGCTCATACGAAAGTGGTCAATCACCTGGCAGTTGTGACCATTTGATTCTTTAGAATTGTTCGATCTTTGCCATCTAGCAGTTACGTCAAGTATATATATTTTAGCAGGCAAGATGGAGTTGTCCCAGTCGACATACTTGACAGTGTATTTCATGAAGAAGCTTCTCCTTGGACTCCTGTACCCTTCTATAAGTCTGCACTTTGTTTCCTCATAACAGCATCTCATTCCCCCAATATATTCTGGCTCCAAAGCATTGCCATCCTCATCTTGAGTAACATTATACAGATCACACCTGCACTCTGTGCATCCCAATTTATCTTCTGCACCCCTTGTATCAATTGCATGCAAATTGAGTATCCATCCTTCTTCATAGCCTGCAGGAATTTCTGCTGGATTACCAACTTCTATTCCATAAGGATCAGGCACAGCTGTTGCTGTTTTTCTCGTCTCAGATCCAAGGCCAAAGTACTGGGGAAGATGGTCATCACATATCCCATTGTTCTTAATGACAACATAATCTGATTTTTCAGACCTCTGGTTGCTTGAACTGTTTGAATTTTCAACTGCTTTCGGTCGGTAGTATCTCATAGCAATCCAGTGGTGCAGATAAGTTTCATAGAGAGGTACAGGATTCCCTGCCTCATCAACCACTTCAGCAACGAAACTCTTTATAGCAATATGACCTCTTGGAAAGTCAATATTGTGAAATAACTTTTCAGCTACTGATCCTGGTTCCAGGTCAAACTTAGGTGACAAAAATACAGCAGTTTTGATGCCGTTAGCATTGCTTAGATGAACTTGGGTAGAACGAACTATTGCCATCAGTAGCAGTAATACCAAGGAGAATAGCAAAGAGCAATCTGAAAACATTTCCGTCCCTTTCTGTCATCATATCAGGTAAAACAATTATTTTCGCTGTTAGTACATGACATTAAAGTTCATTTTCCTTTCTTTTTTACCCAGAAATTGCAGTTCATTTTCTGAGTCTTCTCTGCATAAAATGAAATGAGGTATAAAACCAGATAAATCAATTGTTGAAGTCTATACTTGATACTCATTTGATTAAAAAATTTGCATGTCAGAATTTGAGGCTACTTCATGGCTGATATGGTACTACCCATACCAGTAGCGAGTTCTGAAAGCAGACGAAGAACAAGTACTTCACACTCTGCGAATTTTTCCTCATTGTCATGTATATCAGAATTCAGAAGAAATTGTTGAGCTTGAATGCATCACAACAATAATATTCAGTTTTCCAGCTTAATAAATGGAATAGTAACAGGATCAACTGGATCAAGCAATTATTATCAACCAGCTAATGGATGGAACAGTATCAGACATGCATTTATAGCACTAAAAAACCAAAAGATCTGGAACATTTTGACATTTAGCGACTGAGATACGCACAAGAATGATGAAATTCTGTTTATCTGGAAATAAAGAAAAGCTAAAGTTGAACTTGCCGTGTAAGAATGCAGAGGAATCCAAGTAGTGATATCAGCTTCAAAGCTTATTACTATTTCTTAACAGTTAGCAAACTCCAGGTTGAAAGAAAACTGACTGAACTTCAAATTCCGTCCACGATACATATCTACAGAGACAGAGAGAGATAGAGAACTACTTTGCTATTGACAAGCACATAGAAGTTCAAATTACAATATTTATGTTCTAGATTCCAGTGATAAATATGACACGCAAATGGTTCAAGCTTTGGACTGTTATCTTGAAAATCCGAGACATAAGAAACAAGCACATAGTAGTTCTTGAAAATCCGAGACATATGAAACAAGCACATAAAGAATTAAAGCACGTAGAAGAGGAAAATTGTGGGAAATAAACAGGATTAACTGAAAATGGATAGCATTAAAACTCTTGACTGCATATGTCCATCTGGTGTGTGCTACATTTATAATCAAGTTTGAATTACGTAGTACAGAAGCAAGAACCAGAGAAGCAGGGAAGCAGCTTTAACCCAAACTAATTTAGAGCCATATTTGAATTCTCAAAATGGGTATACTTACAGAAGCAAGAACCAGGGAAGCAGCTTTAGCTGGAAATGATGAACATAAAGAGCCCAAATGAGGTCAATGATCGTTCTCCAAAGTTTGTACTAGCCTTTTAAGATTATTCAAATACCCATTGTGTGAACATTGGAAAATGTCAAATTGATCGTTTGACAAAAAAAAAAAAGAAGTCAAATTAATATGTCACCTAGAGGCTAGAGCCTCCAATGGAGTGTTTTGAATATACACACAGGCCACAACCACTGCTGAAACCATTGTGGGGAAGTTTGTTAGACATAAAAAAATGAAATGGTCAAAACTCAAAAGAGGAGAAAACAGTTTTAAAAAGGTGGTTCGTTTTCAATTGTCGTCAGGGACAGTGAAATCCATTTTGTCTTTCTTCAGCGAGTCTTTCTTAGTTTTGGGGGAGGGGTCATTCTCCATTCCGCACTACTTCCATATTTTGACAATGCCCAGTAGTTTATTTGAAAGTCAAAGCCATGAATTTTTTGAAGTAGAGAAGCTTGGTTGTGCGTTCTAATATTTCAAAGACAGCGGCTTTCAAACTAGCACAGGATCGCTTTCTGATGGGTACAGACTCCTGTATGTAGGGAATTGAGAACGTGTGTGTTTGATTCGTATTAAACTCTGGCGACTTTTTGTGCAGCTAAATGTAGGAATGGGGTTGCAGTTGTAAAACGATTGTAAATCATCCTGGAACTGGAAGGTTGCAGCTGAAGACTGGCAAATTTGTAAAGAATCCAGCATTTATCCAACCTTTACTACAGATGATTTGTTACCTCGGACAAAATGGTTTGCGTTTCCTGAACTACAATGTCCACTAAACACACACACACACACACACACTGGATGTAAATGCTATGACAAGTCCGGTTTCTGTCAGAGCTCTTCCTTTGAGCCATCACTAGCGATAGCCTTGGAATAAAATTCTCTCCGTTCTATGAGGATTGCACCTTGTGCAGTATCTGAAAATGCTACGTAAAAAGCGAGTATCAAATTCTCAGCTGCTGATGCCATGGTGAACTGTTTCCTCGTATTGTTAAAGAGCTCATTGATCAATAAAACAACTGAAAGAAGATCCATGCTTTTACACACACATATGGCTGCCAGTTACAACCAAACAAATTCTTGCCATATTATTGCCACAGAAAGTACATGTATACGAAGTGGTTTACACTGTTAACAAAGAGGACATGGAGGAGACGAGAGAACTTAAAACCATCTAAAGATGGTGATACAACAGACATCAAAATTAAGATAGACAAGCTCACATCGTTATTGGTTCGTAGTTATCCCCTCTTTGGTTTCTTCTCTGATAAGCAACAATAACAGCAGCAAGAACTGCAATTCCTAGCAGCGCCATACCCACGATAAAATCGGGCGTCAACACTCTCTTATGTATCTGCACAAATCAGAACGATGAGAGCAAGTTTCACTCCAAATTGTTAATTAAAAAGCTCGTGAGGAAAACAGAATAGACTCATACTCCAACTGGAGCATGCTGGGAAGAGTTAAGTTTTGCGGACGAGTCTGAATCTGCAACCAATATGTAAAAAAGTCCCATGACTCCTGTATGCCCTTGTTCACTGCTATAATAAGATTTTACAGTCAGAGTTTCCCCATTGGATATCTTCACAGAACCAGGTTGAGGATAACACGTAGACATCCCTACAATGTAACCAGCCTCATTTCCTGGTTCCTTCCCTTCTCCATAAATTGGAAGTGACGAGCATATAACTCTTCCATCCTGAATAATCCACCAGAGAATCAAGACTCAAAAAAAAGAAAGCAGGGAATTCACTATGAGACCACCTAATCAGCAACCAATAAACAGAGATTTCAACATAATGCATAAAAGTAAACAAGAATCAATTATATGAACACATCTAACTGATCCGCGAAACTAGACAGAAGCAATAGATGAACTAATTTGATTTTTAGCATCAATTTCATAATTAGATGCCAGTTATTGGCAAAAGCCAATGGCAGCAAGCTATCACAAAAGGCATACTTGCAACTACTCAGCGTGTTTCTTGTCATCATTAGCCTTCTATAGTATAAAGGAAGGAAAACAATAATCTTGGAGGAAATATTTACTAGCAATATGACTTTTGCACAAAGTCATGTAGTTCAACAAGAGATTCATTCTGCCCTTTCCCTTTTATTCTCTTGCCTTTGTACTAAAAAGAAAATATATTTAGAAGCGGAAATGACAAGATATACTTAAGACAGACAACTTGTGGCCATGAACTTAAGAGTACAGACATGCCACGTCAGTATCAAGGAGCATCACACTAATGAGGCTATTGCTTAAAGCCTCAAAAGACAGAAAAGAGGCAGAAGATGCTTGAAGTATCATAAGATGGAAAGGCAGGTCTTTCCCTAATTGACATTAGATCTGTGAACGATAAATGATATACAGTTGCGTGAAAGGTTCAAAACACAAAATCAATTGGAAATTTTTGAAGTAATAATTGTCCATCTCTTTGCTTTACTAAAATTACATCTAGAACTTCCTCCTTACATAGAATTGAAATGTAAAGATGAATAGATACCAAATTCAGGGATACATCAATTGCTGGCGAGTTGTTAGGAGCATTACACATATCTTAAATTACTTAAGTGCAGAAAACCTTTATTTCTTTTCTAAAAAAGATAGGAAATAAATTAAGGAGCAGACTTATCAAATATGACTATTATGTCAGAAAGCAGAATCAATTGCCAACAATTTTGATGTATAGCTAGTGAAACATGAAACAACAAAACTACCTCTCCATGAAGAGTTGAACCAACTCCTCCTGTATGCTGGTGTGCAACACCATAGATGACGTTGCCACCAGTAGGCAGAATTATGCTTACACTTTTAGTATGAACGCAACCACCTTTTGTAACACCAGCTGGGCAAGACTCGACATCATACTCAATCTGTTTCAAGGTAGTACAGAATATTTTAAATCCTGAATGGCGTGTAAAAATTTCACTATATCCATCAACAAGTTTTTTTTTTAATATATAATTTCTTTGTAGATAAATAGAATAACAGATAGAAGGACTTGACATATTACCAGACAGTCATGTCTTGAACTGATTCCATCAGACCTTTTCCATCTATCTGTCACATCAAATATATACACTCTAACAGGCACAATGGAGCTATGCCAATCAACATATGTTACAGTGTACTTCAAGTAAAGGCTTCGCTTCACACCTTGAAACCCTTCTTTCAACCTGCATCTGGTCTCATCATAACAACATCGCAAGCCTCCAACGTAACTTGGGTCCAGGTTATGGCCATATTCATCCACAGTAACATTATAGAGATCACACCTGCACTCGGTGCATCCTAACCTATTTTCTGCACCCCGTGTATCAATTGCATGCACATTGAGAAGCCATTTCTCGTCATAACCAGCAGGTATCACTGCAGGGTTACCAAATTCTATACCATAAGGATCTGGTACATTGTTGCTTGTTTTTCGTGTCTCAGATCCCAGGCCAAAAAACTGGGAAAGTACTTGTGCGCAGACCCCATTATTCCCAGCTGAAATGTAATTTGACTTCTGAAAACCAACGCTGCTATGGTATTTGGGCGTTTCAACACCTCTACGTTGGTAATAATTTACAGCAACCCAGTGATGGAGATAAGTTTCATAAAGTGGGATGGAGTTTCCTGCCTCATCAATCACTTCAGCATCGAAACTCTTAACAGCAATATGGCCTCTTGGGAAATCAATGTCATAGTAATACTTATTAATCACTGATCCTGGTCCGAGCTCAAACTTAGGTGACAAATAGACAAGAGTTTTCACCCCATTTTCATCTGTCCCAGACATTAAATAACTTTGAATAGTATCCACCAATAACAAAGTAGCCAGGAAAATGAACTGGCATTTCGAACCCTTTGCCATCTTCTTATTCTCACTTCTTTAATATATCTGTATAACATTAGGGAAGAAAGCTTAATGACGAAATTATGTCAGTAATAGCCAAATTGTTCCAAAAAATCTCATCCAATTGCATCACCTTCAACAAACATAGCTTACCCATATCATTAAACTGCATAGCTACACACCAAGATAAACAAAAAAGCGGCAGGATCATTAATTTAACTATGCGGATTATCACATACTTAACTTGTTGCAGGATCTTCCTATTCTCCTTGTTCTTCTTCACCTCATGGACCAAATTGTTTAGATCATTAAAAAAAAAAGGAAAGTAGGAACATCACAATAAGGAAACAGCAGCATCCGACACCTACAAGTGCAGTGGCTTTAACTTAGGTGGCTAATTACGGACAATAAAAGAGAAAAGAAAGAGTCTACAACCAGAAATCAAATTCGAATAGCAAGTTAGCAACAGAAAACTACCCATAAAAATACTCAAATTTCCGGGCTACAAAACTGTAAAGTTTGTCTTTCCATAACAATAGACAGTACAGAAATAGAAATGATAAACTTTGACCATAATCGGAGTATCCTCCAGTCTCCACCAGAGAGAGTAGCAACAGAAACAAGAGAACTACTGTTCCTTGGGTAACTTACTTTCAGAAAACTAACGCAAGAAGAAATTTTAACCAAGAACGATGATGGGTTCTTGCTCTAGTTGTTTCCCTTGAATATTTATTACCTACAGTCTACGTTTATGACACCCAAATGTTTTCTTGGAATCATATAAACAAAACAGCATTCAGTAGTAAGTCGAACAATTATCAAAACTATAACAATCAAGAATGTAAAAACAGCTTACCAAATTTCACAGCACATCTGCAAAAGAAGAAAGTTTCAATTTTTTCTCAAACAAGAAACTGGCGAAGCAGAGAACATGTGAATGTAAAGAACGGGTTTTTAAGGGCATGCTACGTAGTCTTGAGAGCAATCATTATTTTAACATTGGCGGAAAAAAACTGGGTGGCGGATGGATATGGGCGCAGTCAATGATGCCGACGTGTCCGATTTGCTGAGGCCAGTGCTTAGCTCATTACCCTGGATCTTTCAATCCAAATCGTGAAATAGGAGACGGCAGATTATTCTTGTTTCCGGCCACTAGTATGAAGTATTTTTGCAGGTCTTTTCTTTTTTCTTTTTTTTTTAAAAAAAAACTTTTTCACAAGTTTATTGCGTTTTGGATTTGATATACAGGATGCCCCTTTCGTCGTTGTCTGGAAAATTTTTGACAAATGACAAGTTTCTCTGTTACGATTTTCTGCTGAGACAGAAAGCGACGGGGTATCTTACTAGACATGGAATTTATTATTATTATTTTTTGGTAAAATAAGACAATAGTAGCATAAATAGCAAAATAATCAGTAAAAATATTTCCTAATCCAGGAGGGCCTGCTTCAGGGAGTCAAAAGGAGCACAAAAGCTTTCCATTCCATCTTTGCCACAGCTATCTGCTCCTCCATTGGCTTCTCTGTAGGTGTGTTCCACTGGCACTTGCGAGAATTCAGACTGCTGCAACCTGACAATCAATCAGCTTCCAAGACTCGGACCAAGTAACAATAATGATGAAAGTGTGGACCTTGTGAAAATTAATGAATTCGGGGACAAAGAGGGGAGCGGCATTAAGTAGCAATGAGCCAAACTTCGCGTCAAGCGTTTTTCCCAGTCATTCATGATTGCGTTTGGATAATAGATTATTTGACTAGGAGATTATTTGGGAGCGGCAGTAGTGTGTTTAGATAATAGAAGATTATTTAAGATAATGTTTTGAAAAAAAAATTGTTGGGTAAATTGTAAAGGACTAGCAAATATTGTAACAAGAATTGGCTTCAAATCGTGATAGATATCACTTTCCTTTAGGCTTTATTTGTCCGGTATAACGTGCAATAACCTTGGACAAATATCTTTTAGGATAAGATGAAGTTTTGTTTGTCTTAAACTTTTGCACAAAGCAAGACAAACCCTTTGTGAACTAAGGAGTGCTTTTGAGAGAGTAAGGATAGTAGGAAAGTGATTTTCTGCAGCCAACCACTCTCTACTTGACCTCTTTATATAGGAAGATTGTTTGGGAAACAAAAGACCTCATTAAACACTTGTATGAACAGATTCAAAGTATTGTGTATGAATAGATTCAAAGTATTGTGTACACATTCATGCACTTTAATTCATGCATCTCATGATCATTAGATCGAAACATGAATCTATCATTTCATTCAATAATTCCAATATACATGAATACATTCACAATACTATACATGTACCAAAAATTAATGAATATACATTAATTACATGTATGTACATCATACAAATTTTGAAAAGTTTCTAACAAAAATTACTATAGCATTTTTTTTATGTAATATATGTGAGATAAAAAAGTGGTTAAAAAATGTGTTGATAATGCAAGCAAGTCAGTTTGCGTAAATAAGGTGTAAATAAAATGCAAGCCAAACACAATTAAAAAAGAATACTATAATAGGCGATTAAAAAATATATGTTGATGATACAAATAAATAAATTTTGACAAATAATTTTTAATTCATACAAACCAAGAAGAAAATGTGATGTTTGTTCACCAGCATCTTCTGAGTTTTTGAGGAAAAAAAAAGCCAAATTACATGAAAAAACAGAGAAAATTCCGTCAATAACTAATGACAATATTTAGTTAAAAAATAGCCTCTTTTCCATAGTCTTCTAGATTCTGGAGTTATTTTATTAGTTTACTGTAAATTTATGTTGTTTTATTATCATATAATTTTACACCTAATTAATTAGTAAAGAAAGAAGAATATTAAAACCAAAGGATGTGGTCATTGAATTGAAATTTTAGTCGGCAGCTTTTGGAGTGACATTTCCCTAGAAATTATGCCATTCTCAAAAAAATTGACAAAGTGACTTGAGAGAAGCTGCCCTCACAGGGCAGCTCGTTTGGTCACGGTTGCTTCCTTAAGGCCGTTGTCCAGCCATTCGCAAGGGTTCGAGTACCGTGATTAACGTGTTCGGGGGGATGGGATCTCTCCTCCCCGGCCGGAGTGGGATTAGTCGAGTCTCGTAAGGATTGACCTGAACACCAAAAAAAAAAAAAAAGACTTGAGGGAAGCTTAAACTAATATTTTGATAAGCGGAAATATCTTAGTCTAGGTAGAACGTTATCTCGGAAGATCTACGCAGAAGGGAAAGATACTTAACCATGAAGCAAAAACAGACAAGTACACGTGTAGAGCCCCATCATTTTGTATTATTATAAATCAAGCCAAGTTCTTTTTTTTTTTTTTTTGGTTGCCTGCCACGGTATCCAGGGCTTTGCCCTGACTAATCCGTTGGTCGACCCGGGTCGCACACCTGGCTATGGTGGGTGAGTCTCCCAACAAGGGTAGCTGCATACACCAGGTTTCGAACCCGAGACCTGCTTAAGCGGAACCAAGCTGCTTACCACTTGGCCCAACTCCAGTTGGTGCCAAGTTCTTTATTTGCATGATCGAATTGACTACGTTAAGCGCTGCTGGCCCATGAATCTTTTTGCATGTGGGCACAACATGGGAGAATTGATAAGAAGTCTACTTCAATCGGATGGGCCTAGCTTACTTGTCCCAAAAGACATTAAAAAGCCTAAACACATTTGTCAACTATTTATGAATCACCCTTTATTTCGTTGGAGTGATTTATTGATCATTCTGATCACAATTTTGTTTTTTTTATGGAGTACAATCTTTTAGCGCTCTTTCACTTATTTTATTGGCTTGCACAAAAACAGGAAGAAAAAACCCAGGAAATAACTCTTATTTTATGTGGTTAGAGTATGAAAAATTGCTTATAAGTGTACGTTGTTTACTTAAATGTGTTATATAGTGAGAGAGAATATGTGTTTTATAAACGAGAGAAGGAAAAAAAAATGCATGAGAGAGAAAGACGATATGAATACACACGTGAATAGAAAAGAATGTGTGCACATGCATGTGTGTGTGAAAATATGCATGCACATGTGAATAGAAATGTGTGTTCTAAATAATTATTTTTGCATATAGTAATTGAATGAGTTTTGGTATAACATCTATATCTATATAAATTAGACAAGGAGTTTGTAGCATGGTTAAGTACAAATGCTTCCAACTCCTCATTTTTTTTATATAGAATTTTGAAAATTTTTAACTATTATATATCCTTTTCATACCTTTTGAATTTAAAATGTAAGAAGATATTCCACTTATATAGGAATTTGGTTTGAAAACTATTAATATAAGGGTTAATAAAAAGGAAACATTACCACACCTATTAAAAGTAAAAAAGTAAATAACAATATTTTACCCTTCAACTTAGTAATTTTAACTAAAATGGTAAATTATATAAAAAAACAAAAAGGAAATAATATTCATTAGTCATAGATTTAAAAATTCAAGAATGGTACTATTCATGAAGTTTAAATTATGAAATCGCTAAATAAAAAACAAAGTCATATTGGCATTTCAACGTGGAAAAATATAGAACATTTGACCATAAACTGCATCTACTTAATTTGTACATATCTTATCCAAATTTGATGCTTATTCATTATTTTGTGTATTCTTTTTGTTTTCTTCATATGTAAATATGTAACTGCTATATGTGTGTGTGTAATAGTTAGGGGTATTGTAAGATATTATCAGTTTTTCGTTTGCATTTTTAGATGCCAATGCTTGCAACCATTGTGTTCAATTTTCAATTTTATATAATTTTCATATTATGAGGGGTAAAATTAAATATATTGCAAAATGTTAAACCAAATTGCAAGTTATGTTTTTCTTTTGTTTCAAATTTTATCTTTCCAATTTTATTTTGAAAGTACATATATAAGTACATTTTAAAATGTAAAACCAAATTACAAGTTATGGAAATTTTTCTTTTACTTCAAAGTTTAACCCCTCAATTTGGAGGTTGAATATGAAATGAATCACAAAATTTCTCTTTTGAAATTTTGAAATAATTTAATTCAATATTTTTGTGTGTGGCCAAGTCAAAATTAATATGAAAAATAACTAAATTTGGCATTTTTTAAATACTTTTGTATTGAATTTTCATTTTTATATTTTACTCGCCAAATTTACTTTATATTAGTGTAACATTGACAATATGTTAAATTATGTTTTCAATTTAAAAAAATAGAGAAATTAAGACTCTCGGGCCAATAGAGATGGAAAATGCCAATCATAATTACTATTATTCAAAAAAGAAAATTCCAACACGAACACAACATAGTATATACATATATGTACATATAATTCTCATAAGCATATAAGAGAAAACTATAGATTTTGTATAGCATAATATATCTTAAATGAAAAATTGTAATATTACTTTATTCTGGTTTGGCCAAATGGAAGAAGAAGAGAGAAATAAGGGAAAAGGAATTGGAGGAGGTTGGGGCGCGAGGGAAGGAGGTTGGGGCGTGAGGGATGGAGGTTAGAGGGGCTGTCTAAGGGTTTGGAAGAATGATGAAGAAAAAGACATGAAAAATTAGGGGTAGGAAGTTAGAGGAGAGAGGAATGGAATACTAAGAGCGGAAAAGGTCGAAAAATGAAAGTGAACTACAAAGTTGGGCGGAGAAAAAGGGAAAGAAAGAAAGAAATTGTGGAGTATGACAAAGGTGATAAAAAAATGAAAGGAGGAATTGCACTGTGATTGAATGTGTGAAGATCATATGAGACAATGGATAGCGAACTGAAAATGAGAATGAAAATGATAATAGTTTTCAATAATTCTAAAAACTCTAGAAACACAGCTTACAAAGATTTTTTTAATCTATATTAAAATTTATGAAAAGCATTAGTTTACAAGCACTTAACAATTTTAGGGCTACAAAATAGGAGAAATTTTTTTTTCTAAAATCGTGGAAAATAAATCAGTCCTAATTTATGTTTTTTATATTATAAATTTTGATATATGGTTATAAACTGTAATCTATATTATAAATTTAGTATAATTTTTTAGCCTTTGTCATATATTTTATCCTATATTACAATATATAAATATGTATTATTATTTTGAACTAAAATATAAGTCCGTGCACAGCATGGGTCAAAATGCTAGTTTCAACAAATTAGTAAGTAGAGTTTTACTTGAATGTTTGTATACAAAGTAGTGGTGCTTAATCAATTCAATGTC